TTGTTCTTCTTTTTAATTGACATTCTTCTGTGTTTTGTGGCTTTGTATTCTCAGTCAAGTCTCAGAACTGAATAATATTCATTAATGACTTGCCAATAAGTTATTATGGCTGTGCTGATAACTTCTATTCCCAATTTCTTTATTTAACAGATAGCTTCTGTTTCGATTAGATAATGTTAGTGTTTCAAGTTTTGTTTGTTTAACCTGGAAAAGTTGATACATAATATTTGCCTGTACTATTAATAGTTCCTAATTGGAAACATTAAACCACCAAATTATGAGTCACTCATTTGCTAATAATGCCCTAGGAATGTTAGCCCAATTGAGAACCAGGTGTCATACACATGCAAAATAACCAGAGACCAGAGACATCAGGGTAATGACCTCTCTGAGCAAGGTTCTTCCTTGTCTGTACTAATATGGAGCTAAAAGTGTTTAAAGGAGGAGGAAAGTTAGGCCTTTAAAGGAAGCATGCAGTTTGCAAATAATTCCTTCAATGAAAAAAGTCTTAATATTGATTTAATGTTGTCTTAAGTGGATACCGATATGGATAAAAGAGTTCTCTCTCAAGAAGCTTCCAAATCAACATGATGCACCAGCAGCTAGACTATTTACTATATTAGACAGGAATGAAGGGTCAGGGAGTTGATCACCTCAACATTTCCATTTGAATGTCGCTGCTACTCAGCTCTTTCTCATTCTATTTCCAAGACATACACCTACCAATAATTCTTCTATTAGGAGTTTCTTAGCGTAGTAGGTGGAATTTCATTAAAAAACAAACAAACAAAAAAAAACCCATGCATCTGTGTCAGTGTGTAGAAATAGGTAGATAGATTCTCAGTAGGGATGTAAATATGTGTTACAGGTTAAAGCATTCTTTAAAATGTCTAGATAGAAATCCATGCTTTCTTAGGGAAATATGTTATCTTTTATTCTTGTCTTGATAGGAACCAGGCATTCAAATGATGTTTTTCCAGCTCAAAGGAGTGAAGGACCCAAAGGCAGTGCACTGATGGATAGGAAGAGTGACAGCGATAAATCATTGTTGCTATGTGTAGAAGAATAAGAAACATCCCTCCCGATCCTTAAAATGTTTGCCTGAGAGCTGTACACTGAGTGGCAGGAGAACCAGATTAACCTCTCACTCCTAAGAAGATTCCTCAGGCATCCATTGTGGCTAAGACCATGAGACATACAGTATTTAATAGCTGTTCAGCATCTCAGAAAAAAATAAGTGATTCTAGGAATATCACTGGTACCTTATGGCTCTCGGGTAGCCTGGGAACTGGAACCTGAACGTATTTCACATTCTTTCCTTTGTGTTTGCTCAACCTTCGTTAGAAGTCTTATTGAGCAGTTTAAGTGAGCAGAAGACAAGCTAAGAGAATAGGGGGAAGCGGCAGAAGGAACTTGCAAAATTAAATACCCTGCCGAGACACTTGTCAGTGAGGTAGCTTCAGTTGTTTAGCGCCGGACCTGATTTCGTGTAGAATGCAGAAGCAACAGGAGAACTAGCCTTTGCCCTCCAGAATTAACATCTACTTGGAGATACAACACGGAGCACATGCAGTGATTAAACAGCAGAGCTGGGAAGCACCGTGATGCCAGTGACTAGCAGAGGGTTAGAAAGTGCAGAGAAGTGTTGTCTGGGTGGCTCATGGGAGGGGCCTGAGCTGGACTTTTGAGACTGGGAGGTTAAGATTGGGGTGGCAGGGGGGTGGCATTCCAGAATGAGCAGAAGTTTTGAGGTGGAAATGTAGCAGAGTGACTTGGGAGAGGGCATGGGGGGTGGTGGGAAGCTAGTCTGGGTGAAGGGAAAGTGTGTGGGAAACTTATGGTTGGAAAGTCAGGAGAGGCCAGGCTGAGCTGCCAAGGAGTTCAGGTCAGAATTTTGATTTCCTAATCATTTAGCAAATGTCATGATGGAATCTATGAGAGTTGAGTGGCTATGAGGCTGTATTTAGAGCAGAATGGAAAGTAAGTAGAAAGCAGGGAGATCACATGGGAGGAAGTTTTCTAAGGTTAGTAATGATGTAAGTACCTGGATTGAATTGGTGCAGCTGAGAATTAGTGAAGAATTAGCTTTATATTGCAGAGAAGGCATTTGATTTAGAGAGGAAACAGGAAGGGCCAAGCAGTATACTGACTCTGCATGGGTGGTCTGCAGCAGGGAGAACAGTGGAATTCTTGTTTTAAAAAAAGTGGGAAGTTGAGCTAGATTATAGGGAGGAAGATGGGGAGTTTCAGACAAATTAAATAAGACATAAAAGCTGTAATTTGCAGTGTCATGAAAACATTTGACATCACAGAGTGGAATTCAAGTGAGGAGCCAAGCCATGTCCAAGAATCTGTTCCATTCATCAGGGAAAAAATTAGTTTAGAGTGAAGCCAACAGAGGGCCATAGCCTAACCATGAGGGCTAATGACTGTGTCGTTGCAATTATAATATTTTCGACAAAATTTAAGAGGATTCAAAGTCTGGCTACTTGCTATGAATACAAATGATAGTAAGGTTTTTAGAGTTAGCTAAGAAGCAGAGAGCGCTGGTATTAGGCAACTGAAACAGAGATTCACATCCTTTGATGAAGCCTTACCCATGTTACTTCAGAGATGTTAGCTATTTTAAGATTACAGACAGGTTAACTTCTCTAATTTATCTACTACCTATTGTTGAGATTATTTAAATTGCATTTAATGAAGTTTTCGTTGGTTTTTCATTTCTTCCTTCTAGAGCAAGCTTGTCTCTTACTGTATTTCAGACTTCTGGCTTCGATTGCCTTTATTAGAAATTCTGGAGAGATATAGCCTTTTATTTTTTATGGATGAAATAGTCCCAGAAAGAAGCCCAAGGATGGACACTTAGAAAATAGTTCAAGGAAAAATTCTAATACTTTCCAGAAGGAATGTGAAGAAGGAGGGCTTCTAATTTAAGTTCTCACAGACATGAGATAGGAATCTTGACACCAGATTTTTTGCCAATAATAGAGTTAAGTGTGTACCATTTGCTTCATTAAATTCGAGATGGCATATTGTCCTCTCTCTAACAGTGGATATATCATGATCTAAAGAAAATGAAAATGTACCAGTTCTACTGAATGGCGGTAAATAACTTGAGCTAATTGTAAAATTAGTTGTAATGGCATATTTCGCTGTATTTTAAAATAAAAAATGTACTGCAGAATGTGCAATGGAATAGAAAACAATCTTATCAAGAAGGATATACTTCAAGGTAGGTGAAAAATGAACATGGAATCATTCATGAGAAAAATGTGTCATTAATGTGTCAGTGTGTATATGAGGTCTCCATGGCCCATTATTTCAGGAATAACTAAACTCCCTCCAGTTCCCTTGGCTAGGATGCTTGGGTGGCATCTAGGAATCTCCTAAACGTCACTGCTATTCTTAAGTATCCCCAGAACTCCTTCCTGATAAGCATATTAACTATAGAAGAATTCTGTGGCTGTCAAGTCAATTACCTGAAAAGAGGTAGAATATATTGAAAGATTATGTAAACTCATTCCTAGTTGGTTTAGCCCATTTCACCTCATTCTTGGTTGCAGAAAATGTTTTGTAACAGTTTATAGTAGGTCCAGGTGCTAGTGACATACCCAAAAACCACTGGCGTAGACAAGAGAGACTGTTTTTTTCCTCTGGAAGTAGTCATCCCAGATCTGGAGGGAAGGGTAGGTCATCTCTGTTTCATGAAATTTTCAGTGACCTGACTTCCCTCAAGCTCATTCTCCATCATCCTGAAAGATGAGAGACCTTCCTCTTCGTGGACCTAGGTGGTAGCCTTTACAGTCCAGACAGCAGGATAGAATAAGAACTAAAAAAAGAAGGGCAGGGGCATGTGCCTATTGTCTTGCTAGGAAACGTCCCAGAAGCTGCCTTATGATGCTTCTCTTCATATTTCACTGGCCAGAGCTTGGTCATATAGCTATACCAAACTACAAGAGAGGCTGGGAAATGTAGCCCTTTTTCTAGGCAAACATAGCCTGACTGAATAATCTTTTACAAGAAAGAAGGGGTGAATAAATACTTGGAGAAAGTATATACACACACCTTTCACTTCCACTGCGTTGGCATCATAGTACCAGCAAGTTGCATCGTGTGTTGCCTGTGCAACTGAAGCAGAATGGAAGGTACGGAGGAGTGCAGCAGTAGCTAAGGGCGGGCACCCTGGAGTCACACTGCCTGGGGATGGAGTCCAGGCTTTCCTCAGATGTAAAGGGGAACTAGCGTTAGTACTTTCCCTTTTTGGGTTGTTGTGATGATTAAATGGAATACTGAAGATAGCACACTGAGCATGGTATCTAACATATTAGAACCATTTGGCAAATGTCATTAGCTTTTATTAAAAGCAAAGTATAATGTTTTTGAGCTTTTGTATGTGTATACTTCTCTGTATGTCTCTACAATGTGGAGGATATATTCTTTTTCCAGATATGATAAGATTTAGAGTTTCCAGATAAGATAAGATGCATTTCTAATTGTATACTTTTTCCCTTTTGAAAGTAGGCTGGCATGTGCATGCTTGATTAAGGGTGGGATGTCCCCTAACAAATTGTATAAATTTTCTTGAATTTTCCATGGATTCTGCATGTTTCATTGACACCATCCTATGGGCTCTTTCTTCTACGGGCCCCTTGCCACTGATGTAACAGGGTGGGAACTGGGCACTACATCAAGAGGAGAAGGCCATCCTTGGATGGATGGGGTTCATGGTTGGCACCATGGGGTAGCTATGCTGTGCTTTCCTATAAGAGGATACAGTTCTGAATTGCAAGACTAATGTCTATTGAAAAGTAAAAGTTTGGCTTGTTCTTTATTTAGAAATAGTGATAGGAGAGAAGTGGGTGAAGACGGAGCTTGGTAGTCCAACTTTGATGTAACAATTTTCTTATGATTACAGGCAGCAAAATAGTTGTATTATGATATTTTTTTTTGCCAATATCTAAATGCTCTTTTGCTTCTCTCTTTTTCTTTCTTTCTTTAAGCCCCTTCTTTGTTTTGTGGCTTTTCTTTTGTCACTCCTCCAGACTACAGCTTTGTTCCCCCTTCTTCTACTCCTTTCTGGTCAGGTACTGCTTTACTGCTTTTATGTGTCTCTGCAACTCACTTCTGCTTGCAAATAAAATATTTTTACTTCTATGTATGGCTTCTCATATAGATACATCTCCTCACAGACAGTCCCTCGAATTCCATTACCACCATGCACTCTACTCTCCTCCGTCTAAAGTCATTGTTTGCCATGACATTCCACGTCTCTGGATTTTGTGTGTGTGCTCATGCCATGTTTTTCTGTAGGACATTTGATAATTTATCTGTTGAGGAGAGGTAGGGGAGGGATGGGTGCTGGAAGTAAAAAGGGGGATGAAAAATCTTTTAAAATCATTATTTTTTCTTGAGGACCAGAATTTTGAGTTGAGAAAAGCCGGTGTTCACGTATTGCCATTAAGAAAATAAAGAGAACTCAAATTCCAATTTTGTCTCCAAACATAAGAGTAAAATCCTGCACATATTGTTGAAAGGATGACCAGTGTTCATCTATTTTACAGCTCTTCAGTTTGTGCATGGGCATTTTCATCTTGATTTCTGTCATTAGCCAGAATATTTAATGACTGTTTATGTGACATTTGGGGAAGTAGATTATGGCTAGGTAATGTATGTTTCCTTACAGATTTTAAAAAATTAAACTGTACATCCCAATAAAATCATAGAATTTAGAACTAGAAAATCCCTAGAAGTCATCTAGTACATACCTTTCAATTTATAGATGAGAAAAAATGTGGCCCAGAGGGGTTGGGAGATAGGCAAGGTCACACAGTTAAGTTGATGGTTGGGTTTTTCCACATAGGGGTGTTTTTATGTGCACCAACTCTAAGAGTAGTGCCCCAGTAATGGGACAGTTTTCAGTAAGAAAACTATTAAAGTGGTTTGTGTCCCGAACAGTAAAATAAAACGACCTATTTTTACTCCCTTTACAGTTCTGACATCTACAGCATTGCTATTCGTTTATCTTATGATGGACATCAGGGGACTAAAAAATTTCTGTCATTCCAAGGCCTTGAATAATAGGCCAGGGATTCCTGTCTCCAAGTGGGCGGGCTCTTCCAGGGCGACATGGGTCATAACGTCGGCTGCCTGGGCCCTGGGAACTCTTAGAGATACAGATGGACGGCCTTGCCCATTTGTCTCTTTTTCTTACACTTAAGTTCCTTTAGCGTTTAAGATTTATAAAGTCCCACCAATCTCAGATGAGTGATTCTCAGAACCACTGAACATATAATTGAAAACACTTTATAACCCCAAAGAGCAACAGGTAGAGAAGTTAATATAAAATGTGTTATGGAACACCGGAGACTAACAGGCATGGACAACTGGATGGAGTTTTCCTTTCAGAACAGGGCCAGTAGAGAGAGAGCCTGCTCCTCTCCTACCATCAAAATTTTTTTTTAGAAAACCAAAAAACAAACCCTGAACACAGGAGATGAACATCCTGACATCTTGTTTTTGTTTAGATATTTTAGTAAAGGTTTTCTCTACAGCAGTATTTGTTTGAAAGAAGGAAGAAATACAGATGATGTTTGTATGTTCTTCCTGTGAGACCTGATTTACACATCTTCACACAGGTAAAATTATATTTAAAATAATAACAGAGTATCCCCAAATAGTTTCAACATAAAAAGCCTTATTAGGGCAGAAAGTGCCACTTAACCAGAAACAGTAACATGAATTTGACCGGAGACTTTCATCAGAACAACAAATTTAGTTGTTTCCAGAATTAGTCAAGTGCTTACTGGATAAAGATGTTAAGCTTTACCTAGGAGATGCTAGTTAGAAATAGATTACTGGGCCATCAATGGGAAATTTATGCTAGAGTCATTTTAGATTCCAAGTGATTTTAGATTCCATTTTCTTAGTTATTAATCGGTTTTTTATGTTTAGGATTTTTTTTTTTGGTTTGTTTTTATAAAAGCTAGTCCCTATTTTGAAGTTCTCATGAAGAATGTGAAAACAGAACAGTAGTTCTTTCAACTTCATGAAGCGAATTCGCCTACTTCTGATTGAATTGAAACAGCACTCCTGCTGCTTTCAAGCTCTTGTGCCATTATCGCTGGTCTGTAATGAAGTCACGACTGTGCATCAATCTGATCATATCAGTAACATTCATCTGATTAGGCTCTTATGGCTGTTAACCAAATGCAAACCCACTCTGATTCCCCATCATTTTTTCACAGTGTTGAGTCCAAAAGTGCTGGGCATTGCCATCGCCCGCTATGACTTCTGTGCAAGAGACATGCGGGAACTGTCCTTGTTGAAAGGAGACGTGGTGAAGATTTACACAAAGATGAGTGCCAATGGCTGGTGGAGAGGAGAGGTGAACGGCAGGGTGAGTTGTCCCTCTGGATGTGCTGGTGCATGGGAAGGAAGGGCACTGGGCAACCACTGGCACCCATAGGTGGTGCCAGGAAAAAAATCCCTACACAGTGTTGGGACCTTCCCAAAAGACCCCTGGCTGCTGGAAACTGGTGCTGTATTTTATGAATACCAAGCACTCACCAAAAATGTATTGAATGAATATGAGAGAGATGGATGGACAGATAGAATGGGTATGAACTTTACTTATTTCATAAAGAAAGTTCAGCCAGGTATATCCAGTGGTGTCATGTTTGGAAAAGAGTTGAGAAGCATCGTGGTTCTTTTTAGATCCTGAACCTTAGAGCATAAACTTTATGCGTTTTGCAAAATATCTATGAACGCTGCTGTTCTAAACTGGAAAGAGTGGAATGTTGTGCCTCTGTCTTTCCATCCTGTTCTATAGCAGAGACGGGAATCGTTATGCAGTAGGGACCCCATATCACACTTAATTTACATATTTATTTGTGTGCTAGTGGATTAGAACACTATTTAAGCTTATTTTAGTCTTCCGTTTCCATCATTCACTCTATTAGCCTTCTAAGAGCAGTTAAACCAATCTTCCCACCTACAATGGGCATAAAACCCCAGCTTAATTAGGGTGTTATGAAAATGAAATTCTCTGTTTGTAGAATCCTTTGAAGTGTTAGATACAAAGCCATGATGCTATATTAGTTGTATTTTCTTTCTTTCTTTTTTTTTTAAGGTGGGCTGGTTTCCATCCACGTATGTGGAAGAGGATGAATAAATTCCAATCCAGTGTTGCACCCTGCACCAAAAATTTCAGAGAAGGGATAAACAGAAGCCGGCACAGCATTGTGAATTAACTGAAGTATTTTTAAAAGCTGCATTGCTGGCTGTTCAACATCTTCCTTCCTTAACCCCTCCTAAGTCTTAATGCTGGGATTTCTAAAGATGCTGGTCCTGACAGATTAATGGCTTGCCTGGGGCTTTGCAGGAAACAGCCTGCCAGTCTGTCATTGTCTGGGGCTGAGGCAAAGCCAAAAGCTGCTCTTCCCAGAAGAACCCTGCACACCATTGCTACGTGTTTCTCTTTACTTCATCCAACCAGACACCACGAATACCAGCCATTCGTAAAGATTGAATGCATTTTTACTTTATTCTCACATGCCATTCACCAGAAATTTTGATGGTACAAAGAAACAGAAGTTTAATTTTGCTTTTCCCGGCATGAAGAAAAATTGGAGTTTCGCCATGTGGGCAGCTTACAGGAAAGATCCTGCATTACTTGTCTTAAATTGTCCGAGGTGACTCATGGCCCGGCAAACATTTTTACCCCCAGATGCTGCTCATGATAAAACATAAGAGGCGAGTGCTCAGGTTTGCCTCAAAAATGATCTATCCCTGAGGGGTTTTAATTATTCATTTGATGTCCTGATTATATGGGCAAAACTTCCATATAAAAAGTGGGGGGGGAAGCACACAAAAGAGAGTGTCTTCATTGTAAATCTTCATAACCACCATGATTTCCTAGGGTTATTTTGGTAATGTTGTACTTGACCTTATGAAATAATCTTGGCTGGGTATATTATGGGTAGTTGCCAATAACCTGAGTAAGGTGGCATTGTTTACAGAAATGGATCAAGGGCTATAATTTATATAAGTCATTTTATAGCAGCAATATCTATTAACACATGCCTTTTTCTCCCCATTCACCCCCACTTAAAAAAAAGACCTCAGACATGATTTTCTGTTTTCTATATCTTTTTGGAGCACAAACTTTGTTGAGGACTTTGGAGGGAAAGCACAATGGTGTCCTTTCTATATTTCTGGGACAGAAGGAGGAGTGCTGAGCTTTTGTGGGCTTCCAACTTCTCTTAGGGTCTCTCCTGCCACCCTTCTTGAGAGTGTATCAGCTAAGGGAAGGTCAGTTCTGCAGTACATTCATTTTGCCAAGCCTTTCCTTTTGACATGAGGAGCCCACCTATGTTCTTCCTGAGATGCGGAATACCCATCATTGCAGTCAAGTTTAGACACTAACTTGGCCCTTTCCTGATGAAATATTTCCTCCATAGCAGAAATCATGTTCTGACAAGATTCAGAGGGTGTTTCATGTTTGGAAACAAACAAACATTTGAAGCACTGACTTAATAAAGCTGAACTAGGAGCATTTAGTTCTGAAATTTTGGAGTATCTCTGAAATGAGGTGGATGTGATGTGCCCTCTCCCCAGCCTACTTGGGTGCCAGGACTTGACATTCAATGGATGCATCCCTGTGTTGGAGACCCTCATGGGCTAGGACTTTTCATCTAGGATAGATTCAAGACCTTTACCTCAGAATTATGTAAACTGTGATTGTGTTTTAGAAAAATTATTATTTGCTAAAACCAGATAAGTCTTTGTATATGTGTAAATGATCACAAAATAGTATTTTATAAAATGTTCTGTACAGTAAAGTTACACCCTAGGTGTACTCTTGGAATGGAGTCTTTCCTATAAAGTCTTATCTGCGACTCTGTGTCGTGGGAATGTTTTGTCTGTTACTGTCAGCCAAATGTTGTTAGGGAGAAAGCAGATCACACAAATGGAAACACTCCTGTGGACAGTATTGTAGCATGTGTTGTTTATTTTAGTCAATAGACTTCCCCCTTCTAAATGGCATTTGGTCTTCCGGTTGCATTTCATGGGCCTGGAGGTTTCCTAGCAGAGGATATTAGAGCCCCTTTTTGTGACATTACCGATTACATCTTTGTCTACGTTTAATACTTTGTATTGGAATCTTTAAATGCTGCAGATTTGTGTATAGTTCTAATACCAAAGACAGAAGTAAATGTTTTTCGTATACTTTGTCTTGCCTGTATGCAGCTTTTGTGGAATATGGTGAATTAGAGTGGCATTTCACTCTGTAATATTTTGTAAATATGTCAATACAATAAATAGTTACTAAGTTGATGTTGCAAGCGTTGGAGTCTTTGTATTGTATGATTCCACAACTCACATATGCCAGCCACATCATTAACATGGGGATGCAAGCCCTAGTTTTGGTCAGGTGAAGCTCAGAATCACTGCCTAAGTTATGAACAGTGAGCTTCGAGTCATGAACAGTGAGCTACAGTAGTTGCAAGTAGCATATATTGACATGCTTACAATGGGTCACGTGCTTGTTCAAGCATTTTATTTGCACTAACTTACAATTCGTGAAGGTATGACCCATAACATCTCCATTTTCAAGTGAGGAAACTGAGATACACCATGAGGTTGCAACTTTCTCCAGGTCCCACAGCTGGCAAGTGTCAGAGCTGAATGCCAATTTGGGCAGTCTGGCTCCAGAACTCCCTTACCCTTCCTTGCCACACTTTATAGGCTAAGAGAGAGATCGGGTGTGTTTTGAAGTTTCCATAACCAGGAAGAAGCTATTTGATACTAAACAGTATTAAATAATGGAGGAGGAACACAGAAACCAGAAATATTCTTCTACTCCTGCCACCTTAAGGAAAACCCCAAACTGATAATTGCCTAGAGAGATTGGTGTCCAATTGAATTTTTGCATTAGACAATAATGACTTCTTGCTGTGGAAACTGGAGTCAAGTTTTCCTTGGTGGAGCTGACTGAAGTATAAGCCACAGTGGTGAGGCTGTCTTAGGGATAGGGTGGAAATATATAACTTCTGAGGACCAGGAAAGGCCAGTTCCATGGTCATAGCTTCTGCTTCACTTCACCAGCACAACTGTGCTGAAAAACATAAGCCACCCCCTATTTTCATTTCAAAACAAGGGGACCCAAAAAACCCCAGAACTATTTTTTGGAGAGCAGGCTCCTTGTAGTACAGGCTTCCCTCTACCTGTGTAAGTGTTCCAGAAACCCACTGACATTAGTGTACCAGCTAGCGTTGTGAGAGACTCCATTCCACTTCAGTGAATTGCTTTTTTGGAGATTCTTTTGACACATTTTTCCCATTTCATCATGGGTGATTTACAAGCATACTTGCCCATACCGTGCTGTGTTCAACAGTTTTTGACCAAAACCAGCATGACCCCGTGCCCCACCCTCTCTATTCAGCTGATCTTCCCCTGAATGACTTTTGTTCATTTGTTTCCCTGGATGAAAAAATTCCTCAAAGGGAAGCATTTGCCTATGTGGGAGAGGTGATACAAAAAAAATGGCAGAAGCACCAAAAAACATCAAATGGAAGAGTGAAAAACCGTTTTGGGCAATGGTAAAAACCATCTGGATAGGTGTATTGCATCCAATAGAGAGTCCTGAAGTCTAAACATGTAAGAACAAATACACAATAAATTATCAATAAATTCCTGGGTTTTTTTTTTAGTCCCTCCCTCCCCCTGCACATTGTGTTAGACAGCCCTCACACCATTTATTTGAGAAACCGATTCCATTGGTGTGTTTATTACCTCTCTTTGACATACCAACATGAATGTGACTTTTAGACCTGGTATGAGATCATCACTAAGTTCACCACAGCCAATTGTGCTGACCACTGTGCCCCTTTATTTGATAGTTAACACGGGAGTATAGCCTTTGAAACGTCCATGTATTTTGTCTTCCATCAAGTGGTTGAAGTAAAGTGTGTCAGCAGTTAGTCCTGAGATGTCACACTTTGTTCTCCTTAATTTGACAGCTGTGTAGAAGAGTGAAAGAGGCATGGCCCTAGAAGTCAGACCAACCCTCTGGACTCATATCTCACCCCTGCATGCCAGCCTCTGCCAATCAATACCATAGGATGATGTGAAACACAACTGCGATCCTCCATGTACAAATGGTATCATGCCTGGCTTACACAGCCATTTTTTGTTATCATCATCCTTGCCATCATCATATGTATTTGTTGACAAATTTCAGTATTTGCCATCTTAATCTCTGAACTCCTTTAGCATAATTTAGCCTCATTTACAGGAGGATTGTGGGAGGAGTTCAAGACTAGCCCAAGCAATATCATAAGACCTTGTCTCTCCAAAAAATAAAAAAATAAGCTGGGCATGGTGGTGGGTGCCTGTAGTCCCAGCTACTCAGGAGGCTGAGGTGGGAGGATTGCTTGAGCCCAGGAGTTTGAGGCTGTGGAAAACTATGATCGTGCCACTGCACTCAAGCCTGGGTCACAGAGTGAAACCTCGGGAAAAAAAAAAGTCTCATTTACAGGATTAAGAAGAAAAACTTGCAGATTCTAAATTAGATGGTCTCATGGTCTCTCTAGAAAGGAAATTAAACTATCTGGTGTCATAGAAAGATGGAGAGTTTTATCATCAGTCTGACCCAAGTTCAAACCCCAGCTCTGCCATTGACTTTTATGAAACTCAGTTTCCTCTTCTGTAACAAGGGAATAATGAAAAGTGTCCGATAGAGCTGTCGTAAAGAATAAGTAATAAATTATGAAAAAAATGCCCAGCACGGAGACTTACACCTGGTAGGTACTCAAGAAATGGTGGTCTCCTTTCATTTATGAACTATAAAATTCTCAGGTACTGAATTATGTACTTGCCGCCTTTGTTGTGAATACTATTGAGAGCTCATGCTTTCTTTCTTACACATGGTTTAATTTTCTGAAGCCAAATTATAGACAGTGTAAAAGGTATATGTTCAGGAAGATTAATATGCAAGCCCACAAACATCCTCAGAAGTTGAATTTAACAGCTCCACATTGTTTTGACTGGGAAAATGGAATTTTCACCCAGCTCATAATCATTTAGACTGAGTTCATTAGTCACTTCATTTTTCACTGAAACTAGTTTTTTGGGATTGGTTGGAGTCTGATTAGAAATGTTATGCATAGCCTCCTAGTCTGGCAGACTTTGGAAGGCACCTTATTGTAAGTAATAAACGAGACCCATAAAGGAATTAAAAAGGAATTCTGTCTATGTTTTGGTGCTATTGATCAGACTGAGTTGGAGGAAACGGTGACAAAAACCAAACAAAAACCTCCTTTTAAAGCACTCTAGACTCTGGCTCTGTCGGAAAGTTCCAGAATTTCTAGGCACAATGAGACTACAAATGATGACCCAGGCACATATCCAGGTGGGAAGAGGCCTTGGTGCAGAAATCGAATTCACATAAAAGTCAACTCAAGCCCTGTCTAATAGACATTGGGGTCTGTGTTGAGTCCTGAGTAGAAAGAAAAATGAACTCTAGAATTACTGATGTGTCCAACACATGACCAAGGTAATGCAGATAAAAATACAATCAAAATAAAGATTCAAACTCCAAATAAATGCACTTCATGTTCCTCCATGACACATTGCACGGAGCCTCTGATTTCCCAGAATTCTCTCTACCATTCCCAAAGCCTTTCCTCTGGAAACTATTCTGGGCAGCTACTGGGATCCTAAGTCAGGTGGGAGTGTAACTGGGTCACAACCCTTGCATCTCTCATTGTCAGGTTGTATTGATGAATGTGAAATATGTCCATAAACATAATAATGACAAAGGAGTCTGATCCGTAAATGCTTGCTGATTTTCTAATGGATCGAAGTGATTTCTTCCCAGAAAGAATTTTTCCCCCCAATGATAATCTTTGGTCTGTCTCCTTTTTCATTTGAATGTTATTTTTTTTTGTACTGGTATCTGCTAGACAGTGTGCAATGTATTTTTGTGTATATTATCTCATTTATCTCATGTATTCTTTCTGAGAATTCATAGAATATTGACATCATTTCATCTTTTAGTCATGAGAACTCTAGTCCTAGGTAAGTAACTCTTCCACACGAGGGCTGGTTTTTAAGGCTATTTGACTTATTTTACTGTTTTTTATGCTGTGTCTTTTTTGTCTAGGAAGCAGCATGGACTGGTGGTGAAGGCTTCAGCCTTTGAACTAGACCATCTGGCTCTACCGCTTACTAGCTCTGTGACCTTGGGCAAGTTGCTTTCACTGCTTGTTCCTCTGTTTCTCCATTGTTAAGAGAGGTTATGATAGTGACATACTTCAGAGGAGTTTTGCCAGGATTACATGAGATATGTCTGAAATGTATAGAAAAGTCCCTGACACAAAGTAGATATTCAATAAACAAGAGAATTTTAAATTGCATTTTTGCCACTGTTTTAAGCATAATGCAAAACTAAGTGTTACAAATTTTAAAAGTTAGCATATGTATTTAAAAACTCCCTTTGGGCCATGTGCAGTGGCTCACATCTGTAATCCTAGCACTCTGGGAGGCCAAGTCAAGAGGATTGCTTGAGCCTAGGGGTTCAAGACCAGCCTGGGCAACAAAGCGACACCCCATCTCTACAAAAATAAAAATAAAAAAATTAGCCAGGTGTAGTGGTGCACACCTGTAGTCCCAGCTACTTGGGAAACTGAGGCAGAAGGATCACCTGAGCCCAGGAAGTTGAGACTGCAGTGAGTCATGAACATGGGACTGTACTCCAACCTAGGCTACAGAGTGAGACTGACCCCCAAAAAGAAAAAGAAAGACTCCCCTTGAATGTATATTAGCTTTTGGAAGGTACACCTTGAATTCACTTTTCACATTGGTGATCCCTTAAACATGATGCACAAGTGAAGCACAACTCAAATGCTCTACCAGAGTACCGTGTATTCGTTATCCACTGCTCCATAACACATTCTGCACTCCAAAATTTCACAGTTGAGGGCAACACACATTTATTATTTCACAGTTTCTGTGAGTCAAGAATCAGGGAGTAGATTAGCCGGATATATCTGACCTAGGGTTTCCCCTGAGGCTTCCATCATAGTGTCAACCAGGCTGCGGTGATCTCAGGCTCAGCAGGAGCACTCCCAAGTTCACTCATGTGGACCCCTCCACATGGCCGCCTCACAACATGGCAGCTGGCATCTCCCGAAACAAGCATCCAAGAGCAAAAGAGCACTCGAGATGAAAGCTAGTCTTTTTATAACCATCTCAGAAGTGACAGTCCATCACTCTGCTCTATCCTATCCCTTAGCATTGAGTTACTAAATCCAGCTCATGCTTGAGGGAAGGGG